TAGGGGCGCATGACCTGACAAACCAGGCGAGCACCTCAATTGCTTGACATTTGGCAATTTCAATTGGTGACATGTATTCCATTTCCTCTCATATGGCAAATTGATTGGTGAAATTAAATCATCAAAAAACATGTCACAATTTTTCCAAACTTAAAGATAATTAAATATATTTAATTATTTTATTAATATATTGATATCCTACCATTTATAAAATGCTCTAAATATTTAAACTTTTGTTGGAAACTTTAGATAGATTTATTTTTTACTTTAATTTTGATAATTTGTTTATTTTGAATTTAGTTAAATTTCAATATAAAATCTTTTCTTATTATAATTGCATGATTGGTGGTGTTACGAAATTTTGTTTTCACATCATAAACTTGGATTTATATTAGAAAAATATTGCAGAATAAATCATTCGATATTATATATTTTACATGAACACGATCAGAGAATATTTTTTTTCTTTTTTTAACTAATTTAATATTGTATATTAATATTATCTGTGTAAAACAAAGATACGTGTTCAAATTTACTAAAATACGAAAATTGGCACTGTTTTTTTTTTTCCAACCATGTGTACAGTAATATACTCCCAGTCATTTACCATATTGAAAATTATACTACATGAATTTCATATTATTGTTTTAACTTTTCGTTTTCTTCACCGAATCCAGTAACAATAAATTTTATAATTGATTTAACTTTTTTAATTATATACTAATTAAAATACAAACTCTCTCATGATTATACTAATAAATTGAATATCATAAGTTATGTTTAATCAATTGATAAAAGATAAACGAATTGATTTTTATATTTCAATATATAACAATGCTATTCTAAATCTTTGGTATTAAATTCGTTTATTCACTTTATTTGATAACAAATATTAAGAATATCAATTGTTTTATTTAAAATGTATAATGATCGTATATACTATATATTGTATTCCACTAATAAATATTTCACTATAACTCTGATAAATATAATTAAGTACATATCTACAGCACCTCCAACCTAAAAGTATCAAAATGAGTTTGCAAATATATTTAATATTTTATTTTGATATTCATCTAAATTTATTTGCTCCAACCATGGGTATTAAATGGTTGTTAATTAAAAATAATTAAATTGATTTATATATCTAATTGCCACCTGTCATTTTCTAAATAGACACCGAGATGGTTAAATCCATATATAACTCATGTTTGATATTTTATTTTGCATGAT